CACTGCAAGCTCTGCCTCCCGGGTTCACGCCATTCTCCTGCCTCAGCCTCCCAAGTAGCTGGGACTACAGGGGCCCGCCACCTCGCCCGGCTAGTTTTTTGTATTTTTTAGTAGAGACGGGGTTTCACTGTGTTAGCCAGGATGGTCTCGATCTCCTGACCTCGTGATCCACCCGTCTTGGCCTCCCAAAGTGCTGGGATTACAGGCTTGAACCAGCGCGCCCGGCCGGGACTATATCCATTTTTTAAAACAGGTTCGCACTGAATCGCCCAGGCTAGAATACAGCAGAACGATCATAGTGCACTGCAGCCTTGAACTCCGGGACTCAAGGGATCCTCCCACCTCAGCCTCCTGAGTAGCTTGGACTACAGGCACTCTCCATCACACCTGGCTAATTACTGTATTTTTTTTTGGTAAAGACAGGGTCTCCCTATGTTGCCCAGGCTGTTCTTGAACTCTGGGGCTCGAGTGATCCGCCTGCATTGAACTCTGAAACTGCTGGGATTACAGTCATGAGCCACCGCACCCACAGGGCTATACCCATTTTACAGATGAAAAACCGAGGCTTGGAGAGCCACAACAACTTGTGTACCATTGTGCTGCTTGTGAGCCAGGGGCCCTGACTCCTGATGCACCTCTGCCTGGGTGTTGCATTGATAGAGGCAGGCTGGCAGGATCCATGTACCCAAACCGAGGGAACAAAACCAGAGGGGCTGGCTGGGCGCAGTGGCTCACACCTGTAATCCCAGCACTTTGGGAGGCGGAGGCGAGTGGATCACGAGGTCAGGAAATCGAGACCACGGTGAAATCCCGTCTCTACTAAAAATACAAAAAATTAGCTGGGCACAGTGGCAGGTGCCTGTAGCCCCAGCTACTCAGGAGGCTGAGGCAGGAGAATGGCGTGAACCCGGGAGGCAGAGCTTGCAGTGAGCCAAGATCGTGCCATTGCACTCCAGCCTGGGCAACAGAGCAAGACTCCATCTCAAAACAAAAACAAAAACAAAAACAAAAAACAAACAAAGAAAAAACCAGAAGGGCACCAAGCACAGTGGCTCACCCTGGAAGGCTGAGGCGGACAGATCACCTGAGGTCAGGAGTTTGAGACCAGCTGGCCAACATGATGAAACCCCGTCTCTACTAAAAATACAAAAACTAGCCGGGCATGGTGGCACGTGCCTGTAATCCCAGTTACTCAGGAGGCTGAGGCACAGGAATTGTTTGAGCGGGAGAGGCAGAGGTTGCAGTGAGCCGAGATTGAGCCACTGCACTCCAGCCTGGATGACACAGCAAGACTCCGTCTCCAAAAAATAAATAAATAACAAACCCAGAAGGGCATGTGGTGAATGGCAAAACAAAACAGTGAAAGAAAACAGAGTTGGGGAGAGGCCTGAAGTCGTGGGGTGGTGAGGGAGATTTCACTGGGGCGGGGGCTTCACTTGCCCTCCCTCCTAGGATGGGTGCTTGGAGAGGGCCACAGGGCTACCAAGCCCCTTGGCGGAGCTTAGGATGCCTTGTCCTCGCCATCTCATCAGACTGTTTGGTGGCTGCGTGTGGCCCTATGCATGCTGGCCTCTGACATGCTCTTCCTCCACCATCCAACTCTGTCCCATTTCTACTTGCCCTTTGAACCCCACTCAGACATCGCCTCCCCAGGAAGCCCTCTGCAAGCATTCCCTCACCTCAGAGTGGTTTGCTGTCTGGACCACACCACCTCTGTTCTTGCACAGACTTCTGTTTTTGCCTTGAGCACATTGCCTTTTCTCCCCCACTGTGTTGTGACTTCATAAAGAACAGACGTATTTTACACACTGTTGTAGCTCAGCCTGGAACAAATGGTCTAACCACAGTGAAATATTTTTGTAAGTTCGCGACTGGATGGTGAAGTCCTGCTCATTCTCTGACCTTCTCCATGAAGTTCCCCTGACTTCCCCAGGGCGGGACTAGAAGCATCTTGTAATCATTCATGAACAAGCCCAACACCCCCAGCGCCCAGCACCGGGCCAGCACCTAAGAGGCCTGGAGGAGTTTTGCTGGTGAAAGAACAAATGCGCCAAGTGACCATAAGTTCTGGGTGGGGGAGGCCGGGGGTGGGGGTGGGGGTGGGATGGCCTCGTGATTTCTGCCTTTGTGCTCTGCATCACCTGGGGCCTACCGCCAAGCCTTGAACATGCCAAGGCCGCTAGAACACGGGTTTGGTGAACGGCTGACTGCAGTTGTATGAAGTCCAACACATGCTGGGGACAGAGAGGAAGGAGCCAGAAGTCCAAGTTCTGGGGCATTTCTGGGTGAGCACACATGTGACCCGAAGGCTCAGGGCACTGGTTGTCAACTGGGCTTCCCTGAGAGCCAGCCCTGCCTCTCTGAGAACCCCTGAGACCTCACCTTTGCCCAGCATGGTTGTACACTGGAGGAGATTACTGTCTCACCCTCCACCTCCTCTGGCCTGGCCTCTCTAGGAAGAGTAGGCTGTGTGCCAGCCAGCCTAAGCACCCTCAACCCTCTCCTCCCCACCAGACAGTAGACCACCAGCAGGATCAGGGCTGGTGGGGACATAAAGCTGCCACAGCCAGCCCCCTTAGAGCTGCATACCTCCGCTGAGTCCTGGCCCCTGCCCCACTCGGTTCGTGCCCTGGTCTCACTCCTCCCCTCCCCTGCAGCTTGTCTGCTTTTGAGGGGCTCCTCCGTATCCATCCTGGTTTCTGGGTGCAGATGGCCCTTTGTTCTTGCCCCTCTCTTCTCTCTCCTCTCCACCCACTGCCATCCCTTGGCCCTTCCAGGTGGCTCCGTTCCCTCTCTGTCTCTTCAGCCCCCATCACTGTCCCTCTCGGCCTGGGGCCCTCCGTGTCCTGGTCCTTTTCCCCGTCTCCAGCCTCCATGTGTGCCGCAGGCATTGGCTGTGTTTTTAGCTGCCACTGATTAGCCTATAGTTCTGACACAGCCCTGGCCCAAGCTGGGTCGGGGCTGGTTGGCACTGCCCTCCACCTTGAGGGGGTTAAGGAGGTGTCACCCGGGCTCTGGCTCCGTCCTCTACCCAGCATCAGGGACCAGGGGTTTCAAGAGCTGGGTAGGGGGCAGATGCCTGGGCAGGAGGATGCTCTGCTGCTGGAGAAATCCTGGGGGCCACAGTTGGTGTTTCCAGGTAGGCACAAAGGTCCCGAGCCCAGGGCAGAGTGGAGCTGGCTTCCTCTTCCCGGGTGGGTAGCTTGTGAGGGTAACCTGGAGGGGAGGGGAGGTGGGGGGAGGAGGAAGCGCACTGGGAGGTGCAGACTGAGAAGAGGAATTAGGTCAGGGATGTAGGTGGGTGGGCGAGAGGGGAGGGTGGCATCTGCTTCGGAGCTTCCTCCGGGTTCCAAACGCATCTCCACACTTCCCTTCCCCTCCTCCCCACCCCCTGCCCCCACCCCCACGGGTCCCGGGAGAATTCGCCTGGTATTTCCCCTCCCCCATCCCCCCCAGGCATTGCCACAGGGTGGGGGTGGGGTGGGGGGAGGCCAGCCTCAGCTGTCTGAAGGATGGAGGGGCTGGGGAAGCAGGGCTAGGTGCCCAGACGGCCGCGTGTGTGGGAGGGGATGTCCTCAGATGCCCTCCACCCGGCAGTCCCCGCTCTGACGTGGGTGCCCCCCCTCTCCCCGCCCGGATTAGTGGCAGCTTGGCCTGACTCTCCGGGGCTCCTTCCCCCGCCCCCGCCTGCTGCCCTCCCCTGGGCCGGGGGCTGCTCTGCCCGGGGGGCACTGTGCTTGCCCAGGTAAGGGGCTCTGGGGATGGCATGAGGGCCGCCGGCTCGTGAGTGCTGCTGTGCCCGTCAGCACGAGCGTATGTCAGCGAGCGAGTGTGTGTCAGTGCGCCAGGGGTCGGTGAGGGGCTGGGGCTCGGTCCACGAACGGCTGGGGGTGCTGGTCAGCTTGCCTTTGTCCACGAGTCTGGCATTGTGTCCACGCGCCGTGTGGCTTTCCTTCTGTGTTTGTGTCTTTTGTGTGTCTCCTCAGCTCTGCTCCGTCTTCAGGCACAGAACAGCCGGCTGCAAGGACTCTGTGGGCCTGTGGCATGGGCCCCAAAGCGGGATGGGGAGCTGGGTGAGGGTGGGGAAGAGGTCCTTCCTTCCACCCCGCAAGTCCCCACGAGCCCCTGGGCTTTTCAGCAGCCTGTCTCCAAGAGCCCTGCTGCTCTAGTCCAGGGACTGTGGCCTGACAAAGCAGACATGGCAAGTGGGGTAGAGGGGTATCCGCCCCACACCCCTGGGATAGTCCCAAACCCCTTTGGGGTTGTCAGTCATAGGCTTTCAGGGTTCTGAACAGCGCAGGCTCCCATCTTGGCCTCTTCCAGGCCCCAAGCCGCAGGAATCTCCCCCTGGCGCTCCCACAAGCTTCAGCTGCTGAGGAGGGAGGCCAGAGGACACAGATGGGGGACCACAGGCACACCCCAGTCCCTCACCTTCACCCCTGGAGCCAGGCTGGAAGTGGGAGGCCGGGCCTCAGAGCCTGGGGCCTCCAGTCCATGTTAGACCCTCTACAAGCATCTCCCCTGGCACACTCAGGTCCCAGCCACCCTCAGGGGAGCTGGGGAGGAAGGGAGTGTTACTCAGTCATGTAAACAACCCCTACCAGCCTGCCTTGCCACAGAACTGGCCTCTGGGGGGAGGCCAGGGGCAGGGTGAATCGATGCCAACACAGCCCAAGTCCGGCCCAGTGCCCGCTCCTTTAGGCCCCCGCTCCCCAGGACCCCCATTATTCTCAATTGGTAGAAGGCTCTAGGCCTTGCTCATCCCTTAGGAGGAAGGCTTCTGGTTCTTCAGAGCTTCCCTCTGCCGGGATGGTGGTGTGACTTGGGACCAAGCTAGAGGCATCCAGAACCCATCACTTCCATGGGATGGGAAAGAGGGAGTGCAGCTTCTGTCCCAGGCAGGCTGAGGATGGCTTCCGAAGGGAGCCAGGGTAGCTGAGGGTGGGAGGTGGGTGCCTGAGGGGAAGGGAAGCGCCCGTTGGGCGTGTGGGTTTCTGTGTGAGTCTGAATCTGTCTGTGTGTGTTTGAATCTGTCTGTTTGTGTCTGCACTGGAACCACCCCCGCAGCGGAGCCGGGATGCTTCCTCGGGTGGAGGGTGCCCTGCTTTTCCATTTCCTCTCCTCCTCTCTGTGCTCTCCCGGGAGCCACTCCCATGGGCGCCTCTCCAGCCCCTGGCCTGGAAGCACCAGGAACCCTGGGGATGGGGCAGACACTCACAGCCCGGGGTCTGGAGCCGGTGTGGGAGCTCATCTGGGCCCATGACCTCTCCAGACATTTGGCGAAATCAAGGCCCTTAGACCAGGGACAGACCTGAGCCCAGGCCCTCCCAGAGGTCCTAGGCCGCAACCCTTTGTGCCCTTGGGCTCTGGAAGGGGTTTGGGAAGTGTTTGGGGTGGAAGATGGCAAAGAGCAGCTTGACCAGGTGAGGATGAGGCAGGGCAGACACAGGCCAGTGGGGCGTGCCATGTGCCAGAGCTGGAGAGGACCAGGAGCCAGTGGCCCGGCAGGCACAGCCCGGCTGGCGTGGGCCAGAGCGCCCATCACTGACCCGTGAGAACTCGTCTGCCCCTGCCAGCTCTGGTACTGCCCCCTCCCAGCCACCCCGCCCTAGCACCCTGGGGGGCACCCCGCCCCAACGTGGCCTGGTCCGGCCCCTCCCGCCCTTTGCTCCAGTTCCCGAGCTTGGCACCTATAGTGGGGGTGCCGCCCGCCTGCCAGGCTCCGGGGCTGGGCCCACGGGAGGGTGGGGCGGCTGGGAAGCTGGCACGCTGCCCCGGGGGAGCCTCTCTCGGCAGGCGCCCGGGTGCGGCGGGGGGGAGGGGGAACAAAGGGCTCATTCTCCCCGTGCGCAGCCGGTGGCATCGCCGGGGCGTTGGCGGAAGCCCCCGGGGCCCGGGAGGGGGCAGGCCCAGGCGCGGCCGCCGAATCACGGGCTCCTGTTTCCCGCAGGGTGCTGGAGGAGGAAACCGGCGGAGCAGCTTCCCCACTCTCAGTTGCGCGTCTGGCGATGGCGATCAGAGGTCCTGCTGCGCTCTCCGCCGCGCTCTACCTCCATTAGCCGCGCTGCGCGGTACTGCGCCCTCGCTGGTGCCTCTCTCCTGGGTCCCAGGATCGGCACCCCCATCCAGGCACGACCCCCTCCCCCGGCCCCTCGGCCTTTCCCCCCCACTCGGCCATCTCCGACCCGGGGCGCGTGTTCCCCCCGGCCCGGCGCCTTCTCTCCCTCCGGGGGCACCCGCTCCCCAGCCCCGGCCCGGCCCTCCCCGCGGCGCAGCACGGAGTCTCGGCGTCCCATGGCGCAACCCACGGCCTCGGCCCAGAAGCTGGTGCGGCCGATCCGCGCGGTGTGCCGCATCCTGCAGATCCCGGAGTCCGACCCCTCCAACCTGCGGCCCTAGAGCGCCCCCGCCGCCCCGGGGAAAGGAGAGCGCGAGCGCGCTGAGCAGAGCGGGAGAACGCATCCTCGCCCGCCGGCCGGGAGGCCCCGGAGCTGGCCCATGGGGAGCAGGCGCCCGGTGCTGGCCACGACGACCGCCACCGCTTGCGCTGCGACCGGCCGGTGAAGCCCAGGTAAGCACCAGGAGCGCGCCATCTGGGGACACTCATGGCGGGGGATTTCTGAGCCGAGCCTTCGGTGCCCGTACTTCCCGTGCCCCTCTGGGCTGGGCCACCCATTCTGACACCTGAAAGTTAGGATGCCCGACGCGGCCAGACCACGGCGGAGCCGTGGCTCCAGAAAACCTGGGCGCCCTCTGCCACTGCGCCGTCACCTCCTGCCTGGGGCTTCGTCGCGCTGGCCGAGGGGACCGCGCCAAGAGAGCGCTGCCGCTCTAGTGCCACCTGTCATCCTGGTCCCTTGTACGCACGTTCAATTTTCCCTCCCTTGCCTCTCTCTGGGGCCCAGCCCGCTTTCCCCGCCTCCTTCCCTCTCCCCTCCCCGCCAAGCTGAAGTTTCCAGCGGCGGTGGAGGCTGCCCTGGCACTGCTGGCGGGGCTAGGGCAACTTGACCCATCCAGCTGAGGCTTCTTAATCCCCCTCCCCTGTGCCGGCGCGTTCTTCCCGCTGGGGGCCAGGGCGGGGTTCCTAGCCCCCTGCAGTTGTCCTGGGACTCTGCTTGAGAAGCCGAGAAACTGCAGGGCTCTGGGAAGAGGCTGACTCAGGGCCGCCCAGGTGTAGAGAGAGACACAGCCAGCGGCCCTGGCTGGCAGCTTTCCCCAGTGACTGCAGCCTGCCAGGCCTGCACTTCCCACGGCTACAAACCTGGCTGGGGCTGTAGGCTAGGGTTGGGCTGGCAGCACCCCCAAAACCACTGATTGCAGGATGAGAAGAATCCTCTGAGACGACCCAACCCTCAAGGGCACACTGAGGCCCAGAGGAGTGACATGACTTACCCGGGGCCATGCAGCATAGGACAGAGTCAGGCTCAGGATCCTGCCTTTTTCCTCGTTCAGGGCCTTCCACTTTCTGTCCTGCCTCATGGGTCCCGAGCAGATTCCTAGCTCCGTGAGGCCAGGACATGCCCTACTAGCGATGGCAGCCTCCGCTGAGGGGCACTGGCCTAGGTGGAATTTGGGGAAGGGATGATATCCCCATACTGGAGGAACAAGATGCGTCTGGCTGCATGTGGAGAGGCAGCACGGTGCCCAGTTGTGGGCTGGCACTTGCCTTACTGGTTTGAGCTGCCGCGGTGCTGCCAGGGCAGTGCCCACTCTGTGCCAGGCAGTAAGGTGCTTGGGGAATGTGCCCCAGAAGCTCATGCTTTGATGGTTATGCTCCAGGGACCCCCCCTCTGGGAGAGCCCCATGAGGGCAGGAGAGTGATGGAGAGTTCGCCCAGCTTCCTGAAGGGCACCTGGGAGAAGACGGCCCCAGAGAACGGCATCGTCAGACAGGAGCCCAGCAGCCCGCCTCGAGATGGCCTGCACCGTGGGCCGCTGTGCCTGGGAGAGCCTGCTCCCTTTTGGGGGGGTATCCCAAGCACCCCAGACTCCTGGCTTCCCCCTGGCTTCCCCCAGGGCCCCAAGGACACGCTCCCACTTGTGGAGGGCGAGGGCCCCCAGAATGGGGAGAGGAAGGTCAACTGGCTGGGCAGCAAAGAGGGACTGCGCTGGAAGGAGGCCATGCTTACCCATCCGCTGGCATTCTGCGGGCCAGCGTGCCCACCTCGCTGTGGCCCCCTGATGCCTGAGAATAGTGGTGGCCATCTCAAGAGTGACCCTGTGGCCTTCCGGCCCTGGCACTGCCCTTTCCTTCTGGAGACCAAGATCCTGGAGCGAGCTCCCTTCTGGGTGCCCACCTGCTTGCCACCCTACCTAGTGTCTGGCCTGCCCCCAGAGCGTCCACGTGACTGGCCCCTGGCCCCACACCCCTGGGTACACTCCAGAGGCCAGCCCAAAGTGCCCTCTGCCTTCAGCTTAGGCAGCAAGGTGAGTGCAGGGGCAGAGAGGGTACCTGTGGCTCTGGCCTTGCAAAGTGGCTCGGTGGTCCCCAAGCTGCCCTTCCACTGTGATGAAAAGAGAAGGCAACACCGAGGTAGAGGGGTCTATCAGCTTGGAGCTGTCCCAGGCCCCACAGTCAACTCCAAACAAGCCCTTCCCTGAGCAGCTCCATCTCTCTAGGCCTCCCCTGCCCTCAGGTCATTGCAGCCACTGACTCACCCATTGTCTGCCTAGGATAAGGTCCTGGGAACTGTAGCCTTGGAATGTGTGGCTTGTCCTGGGAGGAGATGGGCAGGCAGACAAGGCCCCTCTATCTGAGAGTGGGATGTGCAGGGGACCCCATGGCCCGTGTCTAGGGTACCTCCCCCATAGATGACTCCCACTCCCAGGGATGAGATTTTAAAACACTTAAAACTCAGTATGGCACAGGACACCAAACGGCCCAAACAGACCCTGGATGCCCTTTGGCTGTGCCAGGCATTCACCCTTTAGTTCTTAGACTTCCTTGTGAGGAAGTCTGAGAAATCCTGGGGGAGGAGGTGGGGGTTGCCAGGACAGTGTCGGAGGCACTCCAGAGACCTAGGGCAGTGCCATTTATTAATCAGAATGTGAGGGCTTCAGTATTCTCCCCTTCCTTCTTGCTTGTCAGTTCTGCCCATACATTTAGGCACGGGGAGCCCAAGTCAGCCCAGGCGTAACACTTTCTCCCCTCTTTAGGGCTTTTACCACAAGGATCCAAGCATTCTCAGGTTGGCAAAAGAGCCCTTGGCAGCTGCGGAACCTGGGTTGTTGGGTTTAAACCCTGGTGGGCACCTGCAGAGAGCCGGTGAGGCCGAACGTCCTTCACCGCACCAGAGGGATGGAGAGATGGCAGCTGGCTGTCAGCAGAATCCTTGCCCACTCTTCCTGGGGCAGCCAGACACTGTGCCCCGGACCCCCTGGCCCGCTTATCCCCCAGGCCTCGTTCATACTCTTGGCAACGTCTGGGCTGGACCAAGCGGTGGGAGCATTGGGTACCAGCTGGGGCCACCAGCCACACCAAGGTGCCCCTCTCCCGAGCCGCCTATCACCCAGCGGGGCTGCTGCTCATCCTATCCACCCATTAAAGATGGGGGTCTTGGCCCTTGTGGGAAGTGCCAGGAGGGCCTGGAGGGGGGTGCCAGTGGAGCCAGCGAACCCAGCGAGGAAGTGAACAAAGCCTCTGGCCCCAGGGCCTGCCCCCCCAGCCACCACACCAAACTGAAGAAGACATGGCTCACACGGCACTCGGAGCAGTTTGAATGTCCACGCGGCTGCCCTGAGGCCGAGGAGAGGCCGGTTGCTCAGCTCCGGGCCCTCAAAAGGGCAGGCAGCCCCGAGATCCAAGGAGCAGTGGGCAGCCCAGCCCCCAAGCGGCCACCGGACCCTTTCCCAGGCACTGCAGAACAGGGGGCTGGGGGTTGGCAGGAGGTACGGGACACATCGATAGGGAACAAGGAGGCAGACTCGGGACAGCATGATGACCAGAGAGGTAAGGGGGCCGGGAGGGGCTGCAGGCCCTGCGTGGGAGGGGGGCAGCCGGGGCTGGGGCTTCGCATGGGGCGGGGTCCGTAGGCTTTATGAATGGACCACAGCCAGTGGTTAGCCTCCCACCTGGATCGCAATGGCTCTCTGGGAGTTCCTCAGCATCTCCAGGCCAGAGCCTTCCAGCAAGTAGCTTCTATCTCTGTCTCCTCCCAAGCCCTGGTGTGTTGGTAGCAGTATAATGACGTGGTTCAGAGCACGGCTCTGGAGCTAGAGCACCTCGTCCCTGACTTTGCTGATTGGTAGCTGTGTGGCCTAGGATGAGCAACTTCACCTCTCTGGGCCTCAGTTACTTCATCTATAAAATAGGGATGAAGATGGCACCTACCTCAGGAAGACTACTGCAAAAGTTAAATGCTAGAATAATTCATAGCAAGGGTTTGGAAGAATTCCTGGCACCCAGTGAACACTCCGTAAATGTTCACTGCGATGACTGCTTGTGCCACAAATCCCTGTTTGGGGATTGCTTCTCCTGAAGGATCCCTTGTCCTGCCCCAGGAACGGCTGCTCTCTTGGCCAGAGGGAAATGGATATTCAGTTTGGACTCTGCCAGTGTTAGGGCTCTGGGCGCACCCTGGAGTCCTCTGCTACACTGTGCCCTCCACGGAGGGCCCTGGCACTGCCGGCCTCAGCCTCAGTTCTTCAGGATCACTTCAGTTTTTCAGCTTCCTGGACGGCTGGGTGTGGATCAGGACTCTCCATGGCCTTGTTCAAATGCCCCTGCACCTGGCATGGGCCTGTGTGTGCCCTCCCAGGCCTCTGCCCTGGCTGGGAAGTTGGCCCCTTCGCCTTCTTGGGTTACTGCACCTGTGGCCTGTGTCGAAACTCTCCGGCCTTCTCACCTTCCGGCGCCCTCCGTCCACTTTGGGATTGTCTCCTCATGTCACACAGCCAGCCGTATCACTAAGCCTTCAGTGGAGCTATCCAAAGTCTACACTGACTGGATCCTGCATGTGTGTCAGGACGATCGCCCCAGCTGCCCAAAGCCTTGGGCTCAACACACAGACAACCTCTTCGCTCGGCTGCTGGTCCGTGTCAGGGCATCCTCAGACTCCCTGCTCAGCCTGGCGTGCGAGCCTTCCAGCTGCCTGGTCCACTCTTGCTGGTTCTGAATTAAGCTTCAGAGGCCTGGGGCGAGGAACTGGGCTGGCTCTGAGTGTGGACGGGGTGGGCGCTAAGGCTGGGATGGGGTTCTCAGCAGCCCAGGAAGCCCAGACTCCTGACCTCCGCATTGTCCCCTCAGGACCCCGAGATGGCCAGGCCAGTCTCCAGGACCCAGGACTTCAGGACATACCATGCCTGGCTCTCCCTGCAAAACTGGCTCAATGCCAAAGTTGTGCTCAGGCAGCTGGAGAGGGAGGAGGGCCCGCCGGCCACTTTCAGCAAGTGCGGAGGTGAGCCGTTGCCCCTGGATGCCTCCAGTGCCCTCCCGCCAGGGCTCCCTCCTCATCTCCCTCTGCCCTCTCTCCAGATCACCTCTGGGAGGGGAACCGCAGCAGGAGGAAGACACAGCCGCCAACTCCAGCTCTGAGGAAAGCCCAGGGTCCGGCCCTGATGGCAGGCTCAGCACAGGCCTCGCCAAGCACCTGCTCAGTGGTCTAGGGGACCGACTGTGCCGCCTGCTGCGGAGAGAGCGGGAAGCCCTGGCCTGGGCCCAGCGGGAAGGTGAACAGAACCTCCTGGGTCTGCATGGGGTCTCTGTAGGGGGAGCCTCAGATGTCCCTCCCCTGACCCCACCCACACTGCCAGCTCCTAGACCTAAGGCAACCTCGGAAGAGCTCCTGGCCTGGGTGGGGACATCAGGAAGGTGTCAAACTGGGTACAGCCCAGTTCTCTGGGAGTTTTTGGGCTTGCTGGGAAAACAAGAATGAGTGCCAAGTATCTGCAAGGCACTGGGAGGTGGGGGAGCTCCTGAGGGGTTGGGGGTCAGGCGAAGCTCCTGGGCCTGGAGGGCTGGCAGGACCTGGGCTAAGGTCCCTCTGGCTGCCGGCGCTCCCTCTGGTCGCCTTTCTGCAGCAGATGGAGTTCCTCGTAAGCACACAGCCCTGGGCTGCCGGTCAGTTTTTGGGTGGAGACCCCTGGGGCTCCCTCTTGCCTCAGACAGGCCAGGCCCCTTGGTGCATCTTCAGCCAGCTCCCTGCTCCCTGTTGGCTCCTGCCACTCCCAGCCTGGGTTCCCAGCACACACGCCACCCATCCTTCCTTTCCCGGCTCCCTGGAGCTTGTCATCCCCTCAGGCTTTGGCACTGGCTGTCCCAGTGTCTGGAATGCCCTGCTCCTCCCTTTCTACCTGGTGAATGAAAACTTACTCATCCTCTGGGGCCCTCTTGGGAAGCTCCCCCGCATTCCCATCCTCACCCTTCCCTGGCATTTTCCTCCAGCACCCGCCTCATGGTGCCACGGTCATTGCCATATTTATGGGTACATCTCCCTACCCAGAATGTGTGCACCGTGAGGCAGGGCCAAGTCCTGACCATCTCTGAGTCCCCTGTACCCCAAGGCAAGGTGTTTGTTGAACTGTACTCAGTGGCACCTTTTCCACCTACCAACAATGGCTTAGTCTGATACTTGGCTCTTAGAAAACCCCACTCCTGGCTGGGTGCAGTGGCTCACGCCTGTAATCCCAGCACTTTGGGAGGCCAAGGTGGGAGGATCACTTGAGCCCAGGAGATGGAGACTGCCGTGAGCTGTAATCACACCACTGCATTCCAGCCTAGGTGACAGAGTGAGACCCTATCTCAAAATGACGACAACAAAGTCTCCTGGAGGAAATGACACCTGGGCATGGTTACCATTTCTGGTAGCACATACGGCTTGGAGGGAAGGAGGTGGAGGAAAGAATGTGCTAGAAGTGGTGTGGATTAGTAATTCAGGGCCAGTGGGGAAGTCCCTGGGGCAGGGCTGGGTGTGGGGCAGGAATGGTGGAGCTGAGGCCTCCACTATCCCTGGAAAGCTTTGCTGGACAGGATGGTTTCTGCAGGGAGGCTCTTGACAGGGCTGAGGAGTAAGCAGTGGGTAGCTGTCGAGGGGCTTGTCTCCCTTCCCCGGGGGGCCCCTCCATGGAAGCTGCTCCCTGCTTCTCCTGCCCCTGCCTGGATCCTTGCCACATGAAGCCTTCCATTGGGGCCTGTTGCCTTCACCCTCTGACCCTGTTCTCTCCGTGGTCAGCAGGCCAAGGGCCAGCCGTGACAGAGGACAACCCAGGCATTCCACGCTGCTGCAGCCGTTGCCACCACGGACTCTTCAACACCCACTGGCGATGTCCCCGTTGCAGCCACCGGCTGTGTGTGGCCTGCGGTCGTGTGGCAGGCGCTGGGCGGGCCAGGGAGAAAGCAGGTAGGGAGAGGAGCTGGGGGTGGGAGGGCAGGATGGAGCCCTCAGGGGGACAGCTGCAAGCCTGTGGTCATTCGTTGACTGCCTCTCCCCAAAAAGCCCCCTACTCCCTGCGCAGCCCCAGCCTCAGCCACAGTGGCTCAATGCCCTTAGAGCAGACTTCCCCTCTCTGCAGATCAGAGGACCATGCCTGCGCCCTTGACCACCCTTAAACAAAGACGAATGTGCCCACTTGGTGTCTCCCACTCTGTTCAGCCGGCACCTTTTAAAACCTGCTGTAACACTGTGAAGTGGGTATTATTGCTTTTGTTTTCCAGATAAGAAAAACTCAGAGGATAAGTGACTTGTCTGAGGTCACACAGTTAGTAAAGTGTTGCAGCCAGGACTTAGACTCAGGTCTTCTGATTTCGTCCTGTTCTTTTCATGGTTCTCAGCTTTCTCCCCCTTGGCTCAAGATGGCCATGGGAGAGCTTGAAATTTCCCTGTGTTCCAATAGGAATGACCGAAAGGAGCTCCACGGTCAGATACATTTTAGAACATTGTCTTCCACATGTTTAGCCTAAGGGCTTGCAAAGCATCTCAGCATGTTAAAGGCTGTGCATTCTACAAGCAAAGAGTGCTGTGTCTCTATGTGACCCAGGTTTCCCAGAAAGCACGAGTTTTATGGACTATTGAGTCCCCTGATTTAGATATCATGTCCTGACCTTCTCTGACCTTAACCTGTGATTACCTTGATTTCTGGACCTGCAGCTTTTCCCTTCCTGCCCCACAGGCTCTCAGGAGCAGTCCACGGAGGAGTGCACGCAGGAGGCTGGGCACGCTGCCTGTTCCCTGATGCTGACCCAGTTTGTCTCCAGCCAGGGTGAGCCATCTTGGAGGGGTGGGGCGTGCAGAGGTTGGGTCCTGAGAGAGACCAGCTTCCTGTCTGATTATCCCTCCCCCCAGTGCCATGCCCTTCTGCTTGGCAAGGCCAAGCTGCCTGTTGGTCTACACTCACCACCAACCTCCCTCTCCTGCCCACCTCCACCCCCAGCTTTGGCAGAGCTGAGCACTGCAATGCACCAGGTCTGGGTCAAGTTTGATATCCGGGGGCACTGCCCCTGCCAAGCTGATGCCCGGGTGTGGGCCCCCGGGGATGCAGGCCAGCAGGTAAGACCCAGGGCATGCCACCGGTTGGGTATCATGCCTGCAAATGACTGAGCTTTGCAGGGGTTTGGCCCCTTTTGTTTTTTTGGTGGGGATGAAGAGCAATAGAGAAGCCTGTGGAATCAGGCTAATTCCCACCTTGGGGATCAGGAGCCATGCACGATCTTGAGCGCTGGCCCCTCCCACCCCCACACCCTAGAGGTCCTCACCCCCTGCCTTCCTGGAGCATATCTGCCCTACTCTGTGCATATTCTAGTTCAGCGCTTGCCACATCACGCTAGAGGTGCTTGTTGGTATGGCCCGGTCCCCAGGCCATGGGTTCCTTTGGCTGGAGTGTTGGCCTGCCTTCTCAGTATCCCCGGCGCCTAACACCTAGCAGGCGCTCAATGTGCATTTTGCAAAGTTTTTATGAAGTTCATGTTCTTATTATAAAAGTCATCCATTCAAAATAAATCGTTCATTGAATGCGTTTTGGGTGCCAGACACTGTGTTGTATACCCATTGTGGAAAATTTGGAAAATACAGACAAGTATAAGGAAGAAAATGATGGTGACTTTAATGCCACCATTAGTTTTGACATATTTCTTTCCAGCCATTTGTCTATTTTAGTAGACTATAGACCCTACCATAGGTAGAAGTCTATGAGCAACTTTTTTCCACCTAATGTTATATCCTATAGCATTTTGCTCCTATAAACACGATTTTAGGGCTGACAAGAGTCCGCTGTTCATTCTTGTGGGCTGTGTTGAACTGTGTCTGCCATTTTAAAATCTCTGGTTGGATTGGGGGGTGGTGGATGGGTTTAACAGAAGGAATTGACACAGAAAATGCCCCCAACTCCACAACCTTCGTGCAATGGCGACACCCACAGGACCAAGAGCATCAAAGAGGGTGAGCGGCTCCTCTTGCCCCTCGGCCTGTGCAGGAGGGAGGCTGGGCCAGAGTTTGAGGCAGGAGGGGACAGCCAGCAGAAGTCTCCAGGGATTTAGCAACCCTCTCACCCCCAATAATCTCCACCACTCCCCTCAGGACACGCCTCCGAACACCTTCTTTGGCCAGACCCCCCCTGAACCCCTCTTTTTAGAGGCTCTGGAGCTGCCAGCAGGAAAGGCAGTAGCGTGGGGAGACCCAGTGCAGAGCTGTGGTGGGGGATGCTGGCTGGGGAGAGAGTGGGCTCGGCCAGGAAGAGAGGGAAGAGCAGCATGGGCAAGAGGGCCTCAAGGGGAAGGGGAAGGACCAAATGCGAAGCCTCCCACCATCTTCCCCCCAACAGAGACCCCTGATTCCACTGAGACCCCAGCAGAGGACCGTGCTGGCCAAGCGCCCCTGCCTTGTCCTTCTCTCTGTGAACTGCTGGCTTCTACTGCGGTCAAACTCTGCTTGGGCCATGAGCGAATACATATGGCCTTCGCCCCCGTCACTCCGGCCCTGCCCAGTGTGAGTGAGGGCATGGAGGGAGGGCTAGGAGCCAGGGGACTAGAGGCTGGGCCTGCCCTCCCTGTGGGGCCCAGCGGGTCCTAAGCCACTGTGCCCCTTCCTGCAGGACGACCGCATCACCAACATCCTGGACAGCATTATCGCACAGGTGGTGGAACGGAAGATCCAGGAGAAAGCCCTGGGGCCGGGGCTTCGAGCTGGCCCGGGCTTGCGCAAGAGCCTGGGCCTGCCTCTCTCTCCAGTGCGGCCCCGACTGCCTCCCCCGGGGGCTTTGCTGTGGCTGCAGGAGCCCCGGCCTCGGCCTCGGCGTGGCTTCCACCTCTTCCAGGAGCACTGGAGGCAGGGCCAGGTGAGGCGCTCTGCCCCTCCCCTCCCAGCCCTGGCCACCCCACCTGCCCCTTGGGGCCTTGGTCCCTAGGCTCAGACAGACCGAATGGCTCAGAAGGAGCAAGAGGGCTGTCCCTGAGCTGTTCACTGCCCTTACAACACACCCTTGCCTGGCCACGGCGGGCACCCTGGCCATTCTCCTCATGGCCTCCTTCCTTTCCCACCACAGCCTGTGTTGGTGTCAGGGATCCAAAGGACATTGCAGGGCAACCTGTGGGGGACAGAAGCTCTTGGGGCGCTTGGAGGCCAGGTGCAGGCGCTGAGTCCCCTCAGGCCTCCCCAGCCCACCAGCCTGGGCAGCACAGCATTCTGGGAGGGCTTCTCCTGGCCTGAACGTAAGTGTCCCCGACACAGGGGAGAGGGAGCTGGGAGCCCAAGCCCTAGGGACCGGGTGGCAGAGGAGTCCCAGAGTAACCCTGAGGGGCTGGAAGCAGGGGTTGCTGCTGCTGGGGCAGGGGCTTTGGAGACGAGGAGGCCAATGGCCGTTCTATCTCCTCCTGTAGTTCGCCCAAAGTCAGACGAGGGCTCTGTCCTCCTGCTGCATCGAGCTCTGGGGGATGAGGACACCAGCAGGTGTGTATGTCACCAAGGGCCAGCCCTACCTCCCCAGCCACTGCAGGCCCCACCTGGTTCAGCCCTCCCCTCCTCCTCTGCCCCCCACCGCCACCCTGTGGCCCCTGGTACTCTCATGTTTGCCCTCTGGGAGTTACCCTGGCAGTGGGAGGGCCTTGATGGGGTCTCTGGTGCACGGGTTGGACCTGCTGGGCATGACCCCCTCGCCCCATAGGGTGGAGAACCTAGCTGCCAGCCTGCCACTCCCGGTGTACTGCGCCCACCATGGAAAACTCAACCTGGCTTCCTACCTCCCACCTGGCCTTGTCCTGCGTCCACTGGAGCCCCAACTCTGGGCAGCCTATGGTGAGTGTCCCTCCACTCCTGCTCAGTCCCTACTCCCGTGCCTGTCATCTCAGGGCACACGAGCATCTGTGCCAGGGCCCTGGGGCTTGAAGTACTTCTCTGATTCCATTTCTAACTGTTCTTTCTCTATTGCCATGCAGGTGTGACCCCGCACCAGGGACACCTGGGGACCAAGAACCTCTGTGTGGAGGTGGCTGACCTGGTCAGCATCCTGGTGCACGCCGAGGCACCACTGCCTGCCTGGCACCGGGTACAGAAAGGTAGGTCCTCGGCCAGAGGCAGGAGGAGCAGGGACAAGATACAGAGGCGAGTGTCTGTTGCCACCAGCCCAGGGCCTGCCTGAGTGCTCTTTCCTCCTCAGACTTCCTTTCAGGCCTGGACGGGGAGGGGCTCTGGTCTCCGGGCAGCCAGGTCAGCACTGTGTGGCACGTGTTCCGGGCACAGGACGCCCAGCGCATCCGCCGCTTTCTCCAGATGGTGAGGAGGCAGCTGGGAGCCCTACCCTTCCCCCTGCTCAGCCCTAGAAGCTCGTCCAGTCCCACCCTAGTGTGCTCGCTCCCCACCCCGTGCCCTCAGGTGAGCTGCACAGACCAACTCGCACAGACAGGTGCAGAGAAGGCAGAGGGGACCCAGAGTTCTGCCATGGGGCTCAGAGAAGTGGCAGGGGGTTGTGGCAGGACAGCCTGGACCTGATGATGAAATGACAGCACCAGCTACCTGAGGCTGGACGTGGTACCAGGGCCTTAGGCGTAATATCTGTTACCTGTCTCAGTCCCCTGCCCCATGAGGCAGGTACTGCTCCTTTCCCATTGGCAAATGAGAACACCGAGGCTTAGTGGCAGGGCTGGGATCTGAGCTTCTGTCTGTCATGGCCCCAGGTCACTACTCTGTGCTACTCCTGGAGGCAGGCAGCCTTCCCTCCCTTCTGAGACTCCGTCCTGCTGCCCCTCTTTTGGTATTTGCATCTTGTTAGGGGAGACTGCCTGGAGGAGATGCTCCTGGAGGGGCTAGCAAGGAAGGGGGCTGAGGGAAGTAGAAAGAGAGATGGGTCAGGTAAGGAGCCAGGGAAGGGGAAAGTGATGGGGTGGGCTGGAGGCAAGAAGCTTGAGGCGCAGGAGAGGAGAGTCCAGGGGTAAAGCAAGGGCAACCCCGTGGTTCCCAAGTCCAGCTGGGCCCTCATTATCCTGGGGAAAAGACTTCCACCTAGTGTCACCCCTTGCCAAAGCACACACACAGAGACTTGCAGAGGCCAGCATGGTGTGCACCCCTCCTGCCCACAGGCATACACACGTGTAGATGCACACACAGATGCTGGGACATGCAGAGGGGAGCACACCTCCACACACAGATGGCCTCTTCCGGGCTGGGTGTGGCTGGCCGTGGGCAGTCCCCACGGCCCAACCCAGTGACTCACGGGGCAGGGCTGAGGGGCACAATCTCCCTGGGTGGCCTGGGAAACACTGCTCAGCTCCAGGATGGACCTGAATCTCCAAGGGCAAGGGAATCTTGGCACCCAACCGGGACTCCTCTAGGGTCCCATCGGCTTCACTAGCCTTCCCTTCCCTGATGGCCCCATCTTGCAGCCCTAAGCCTAGGGGCAATGGCTGAGGTCCTTGCCGAAGGGGGTGGATTGGGCTGGTGGCGGGTTGGAGCATGATGCCGGCGTCCCCTTTGCACATGTTCCCTAGGCACCTCTGGCCTCCGCGAGTCCCTGCCTGCCCAGAGAGCTCCCTGCTCTGGTTGGGCTTGTGAGGTCCCCGTAGCTGTGGCTGCTGCAGAGACCTGGGCCTGGCCCGAAAGCCTGTTCACCCGCTGGCACTCACAGCCTCACAGTGGTCCTTCCCTTTTCCGCGTCCAGAATCTTAGGGAGACCCTGATGAACGCTTTGAGTTGTCTCCCCAGGGACATACAGCTCCCTGCTCACCCACCCACTTAGCACACAATTCTGGCCATTCCAGAGTAAGAAGTCCTGGTAGTCAGTTTATGAACTGGGATTATGCAGGACGTCTCCCTTGGCTTTGCAGAAAGGGGCACCATTGAGAGAGGGAGCAGAGGGGCTGAGGTCACAGAGGCTGTTAAAGGTCTCCAGCCCCAGAAAAGCAGGGATTCAGTCTGCCCACCTGTAGGGCCTTGAACCCCTTCCTTCTAAGCTCCTTCCAGCCAAATGTGTGTTCTGCCAACCTGAGCTGCCCCAGCCCCAAACAAACCCAACCATACCCTCCCTGCCGGCCCTTCAAGACTTGACCCTTCAGCTCTTTTCTCCACCTCTGGCCTCTGGAAAGTCCATGTCCCATCCTCCTGCAGCCCTGCCCTTCCCTCCCCATCTTGCTCATTCCCCCTTCTCTTCTTTGAGGTGTGCCCGGCCGGGGCAGGCGCCCTGGAGCCTGGCGCCCCAGGCAGCTGCTACCTGGACGCAGGGCTGCGGCGGCGCCTGCGGGAGGAGTGGGGCGTGAGCTGCTGGACCCTGCTCCAGGCCCCCGGAGAGGCCGTGCTGGTGCCTGCAGGGGCTCCCCACCAGGTGCTTCCCGGCGGGCAGGGGCTCTGCGGGGAGATCAGGATGGCAGGAGCGACCCGATCAAGGCTGCAGGCATCCAACATCACCTCAATACCCAAGAGCCAGGCAGGGCAGGGAGCCGCACACTGCTGTGGGGAAGAGAAAACAGGGGAGCCAAGAGGCCTTGAAGACACTGAGCCCAACTGGGACTGGCGCCAGAGTCCACTCCTGTTTTCCTGGGCGTGCTGATGTCAGGGGGCTCGCGGGGAGACTTCGGGGTCTCTCTGGCAGTCCTGAGACCCGGTTTTGGCCCAGCCTTTGAGGTGTCCAGTGGTGCATCCAGGAATCTGCTCTCTGAGAGCTAGGGGTCGGGAGTGGGTGTCATTAGAGGAAGCGAACCTCAGGGACCAGGGGGACAGGGAGAGGATGTGTGATCTTGAGCCTCACTGTCCATGTTTCCCCCGACACAGGTGCAGGGCCTGGTGAGCACAGTCAGCGTCACTCAGCACTTCCTCTCCCCTGAGACCTCTGCCCTCTCTGCTCAGCTCTGCCACCAGGGATCCAGCCTTCCCCCTGACTGCCGCCTGCTTTATGCCCAGGTGAGTGGGATGTGGGCCAGCAGGCTGGGTGTGCTGCCCAAGCCTCCCACCTCCCTGTGCCACAGCTTCGGTGGACATAGCAGATCCCACCCTGTGCCAAGCATGCAGTTACCCTGTGCAGGGGCAGAGTATTCTTTTTATTTTGTTTCATTTTGTTTTTTGAGATGGAGTCTTGCTCTGTTGCCCAGGCTGGAGTGGAGCTCCCTGCAACCTCCGCCTCCTGGGTTCAAGCGATTCTCTGGCCTCAGTCTCCCAAGTAGCTGGGATTACAGGCGCCCACCACCACATCTGGCTAATTTTTTTTTTAATTTTTTTTAATTTTTAGTAGAGGTGGGGTTTCACCATGTTGGCCAGACTGGTCTCGAACTCCTGACCTCAAATGATCTACCCACTTCCGCCTCCCAAAGTGCTGGGATTACAGGTGTGAGCCACTGCACCTGGCCAGAGTATTCCTTTTAAGCAGGGTGGGGGACAGTGGGGGGTCCAGGAATGTGGCTGAAAATGCTTTGTCCTTTCTCTTTTTCCTAGATGGACTGGGCTGTGTTCCAAGCAGTGAAGGTGGCCGTGGGGACATTGCAGGAGGCCAAATAGAGGGATGCTGGGTGTTTGGGGTCGGGGTGGGGACAGGTAGACCAGGTGCTCAGCCCAGGTACAACTTTAGCAGGGAATGACGCTAGGGGACTTGAGGATTTCTGGTCAACCCCACAAGCACCACTCCGGGCACAAGCAGGGCACCCTGTTCCCCTCCCCCTTAAGCCAACAACCACAGTGCCACCTAGCTCACACCTGTCCTTCTCAGGCTGGCACCTCCCCCACCCTGTGCCCCTCTCCATGGTACCAGGCCTGCATTGGGGTCGATTGACTTCCTCCAACCCCCACTCCTCCCTGACCCAGGAGACAAACAGCCCTTCCTTGGGGGACCTTGGGAATCATTCTGGCTTAAGCAACACCTCCGCCTGCTGCTCACTCCTGCTGAGCCTGCTCTACTGCCCCAGCTCCGCTTCTACCACCGCATCCCCACTGGGCTCACTGCAAGCATGCTGAACAAGGGGTCCCTGACCCTCCGCCCTCCTGCCAAAAGATCTGGGGAGTGTGAGGAGAGGGTGACATCAGGAGCTGCTCAGGCTTGGCTGAGGGAGTGGCATGGGCGATGTCACTCAGCCCCTTCCAGGTCCGCCCGCTTCCCTCCTTCATGATTTCCATTAAAGTCTGTTGTTTTGTGACTGCTGCCAGTGTGGTTGGCCCTGCCCCTGCAGGCCACATGGTCCAGGGAGGGAGGGAGGGGGACATGGAAATCTGCCCTAGAGTAGAGGCAAATGGAGTAGGGAAGCCCGGAGCTGGGGCCTGAGGGACAGGACACCACTGCCTGCTCTTCCTCCTTCCTGCAGGGCCTGGGTCCTTGCCTCCCACTGAGGAACCTTTGGGTGGGGTGGAGGGCTATTCCCCAAAGATGCTCCTTAGTGCAACAGCAGGCAAGGCAGAGTCCTGGGGCACAGCCACGAGGTGACCTCCCTGTGCAGAGGCTCTGGAGCCCTACTCCACCCAGCAAGCTCCAGGCTGCCCCGTCTCTCCCGTCTACCTTGACCTGAAGATCCAGAAGTGTGGCCCAGAGGAGCCCTTGCCCCACCTGTCTGCCCTTGGTGGCCGTGACCGACGCCAGGCCCAGCCACCCTGGGACTGAGCCTGACTGCTTCAGACAGCCGACCCCTCCTTGTCCCCCCTCCACACCTGCAGCCTTCCGGTGGCACTCTGCCCTCTGCGGCTTCCCTTGTGTATCTCAGCCCTACAAAGAGAAACACTCCCACTCTTGTCATACCTAATTGTTCCTGCTGTGGTTTGGGGAATTTTTTTTATTAAATAAAGGTTTTTTTTTTTATTATAAGTGTAATATACTTTCAGAACATTTAGAAAATAAGAAAGTCACCTTCAAGCCTATCATTACACACCTCCAACTATGAATATTTTGGCGTATTCCCTCCCAGTGCTTTCCCCAAGGATTTGCTGTACACATGGCTGGATTGCTGTTTTGTCCTTGGTTTCTTTCTTTCAACACCATATCATAATCATTTTCTGTGTTTCTAACCTTCATTTTAAATGACTGCTTATATTCCATTAAGCAGCTTTGCCATGATTTACAAAATCATCCTTTATTTAAAAAAAAAAAAGCAGGGCTTTCTTCATTGTTTGGAGACCTCAGTTATTTTCATTTTTTTATGGGATAAAGAGGAGAAAAGAAAAAACTGAGAACTCTACGTTTACTTTGCTATTGTTTTCATTTAATTGATCTCATCTGGCCAGGCGAGGTGGTTCACCCCTGTAATCCTAGCACTTTGGGAGGCAGAGGCAGGTGGATCACTTGAGGTCAGGAGTTCAAGACCAGCCTGGCCAACATGGTGAAACCCTGTCTCTACTAAAATACCAAAAAAAAAAAAAAAAAAAAAAATTAGCCGGGCATGGTGGCAGGTGCCTGTAATCCCAGCTACTCCAGAGGCTGAGGCAGAAGAATCGCTTGAACCTGGGAGGTGGAGATTGCAATGACCTGAGATCATGCCACTGCACTCCAGCCTGGGGGACAGAGCAAGACCCTGTCTCTAAAATAATAATAATAATAATTATTATTATTAATCCCATTTCACCCCTTTCATTAAAATGATTTCAGTTAATCCGTTATGATTTTCAGACAGATAGGATTTATTTCCATTTTACAGAAGAAGAAGTAGGCAAACTAGCCGGGCACAGTGGCTCAAGCCTGTAATCCCAGCACTTTGGGAGGCCGAGCCAGGTGGATCATGAGGTCAGGAGATTGAGACCACCCCGGCTAACCCGGTGAAATCCCGTCTCTACTAAAAAAATACAAAACACTAGCCGGGCGAGGTGGCGGGTGCCTGTGGTCCCAGCTACTCGGGAGGCTGCAGCAGGAGAATGGCGTGAACCCGGGAGGTGGAGCTTGCAGTGAGCTGAGATCCGGCCACTGCACTCCAGCCTGGGTGACAGAGCGAGACTCTGTCTCAAAAAAAAAAAAAAAAAAAAAAAAGAAATAGGCAAACTACAATTAAGTAAATTACCCAAGGTCATATAGCAATTTTAGTGGCAGAACGGGATTTGAACGAAGTTTTCTGAGTCAAGCCACCTTGTATACATTATAGTCTTAACTCTTAGTGGAATTTAAAGACAGGTTTGCCCTCCTGTCTGTCCTTCTTCTTCCAATGTATGTGCTTTATTTTATAGCTGATCATGTTCCAAATGGTCCTGAATGACCCATTCCTACCTACGTTTCATCTTTTGTTTGAGACAGGGTCTCACTCCGTCACCCAGGCTGGAATGCAGTGACGCAATCTCAGCTCACTGCAACCTCTGCCTCCCGGACTCATGCCATCCTCCCACCTCAGCCTCCTGAATAGATGGGACTACAGGTGCGTGCCACCATGCCTGACTAATTTTGGTAGTTTTCGTAGAGACAGGGTCTTGCCACACTGCCCAGGCTGGTCTCGAACTCCTGGGCTCAAGCAATCTGCCCACCTTGGCCTCCCAAAGTTCTGGGATTACAAGCATGATCCACCATGCCTCACTTCATCTTCTGTAGTCATGTCCTGATGTCACCTCAGAACCCCAAATCTGGGGTCGTTCCTGTGGGAAGACGGTTCTCTGAATTTTACCCATTAGGGTTGGGGACAGTGCATCACTGAGCCTCTGTCTTCCCCAAAAGACCCCCTTTGTCCTTCCAGGTGGGTCACAATGCCCTTGAGGATATATTTAGTCTCTTTGTAAACAGAAGTGAATCAATGTTCATTTGTCCCAGCATTGTTCCTGAGAATGCAGCCAGGCCAGGTAGGGACTGAGCCTGAGACTCCTCGTGGGGCACTCGGTGGCACTGTTCCTCACAGAGACCCTTGGGCCTCTGCTGCTCACAGGGTTTACCAGCCGTGCTCTGCTGCAGCCCCTCTGGCGCTCAGAAATCCCAGACATACAACCAGCCAAGCTGGAAGTGAGCGCAGGGTTGCATATCCAATGCCTTCTTTCCTTTTTCTCTGATAAAATTCTTAGACTTTTTTTTTCCCTTTTTACCCAGGAGCATAGATTCAAGTTGCCCTGAATATACATGCTCAGGCTTTTTATTTTGAAATAATTTTAGATTTACAGCTGAGTCACAAAGATAGCACAGGAAGTTCCCAATTATCCTTCACCCAGCCTCCCCTATTGTGAACATCTTACATAACCATGGTGCCTTGATCAAAACTACGAAATTAATATTGATACCACACTACTAACAAAGCAACAGGCCTCACCGGGATTTTACCAGTTTTTTCACGAATGCCCTTTTTCTGTTCCAGGATCCAACCATGCCTGCATTTGACAGACGGCCTGGAGGGTAGATGTGGCATCCCCAGGGTCCCTCAGAGAGCTAGCCTGTGGCCAGCCCTCCCTCTCCCACTGTAGCTTGGGCTCCTGCCCTCCTTACCTTCCTACCTTGTCAAGACACAGGTCTTGTTGCTCTGTCCATGACTCTAGCATCACAGACGCCCTGATACAACCTTGCCCTGCCTGCCCCTGTCCCTGTCCCCATCCCCATGGCCACCTACCCAGGCCTTCCTGCTCATGTGCTTCCCCCCGCTCACCCCCGGCACATACACACACATGCCCTGAAATGGCTGGCTCCGGCTTGGCTCCCATTGGTGCTGGGAGCATTAGGCTACTCCCATTCACCATGCTGTGTGGCCCACCACACTAGCCAGGGTTCTTCCCTCTCTGGGACTGGAGGACACACAGTTGACTTGATGGGGACCCTGGTGGTTCCTATCCAGCCTCCCGTCCTCCCTCAGCTGCCTCCCTTGTGTCGGCGCCTCTCCAGCCTCTGTCTGGCTGCTGTTCTCTCCCAAGGCCTTGGGAACGCCTGCCTCTCTGTTGTCTCAGCACTCCCTTCCCAGTTTACAAGGGGCTTTTGGGGAGGGCTTCCCCCCACCGGGGATAATGGGAGGCATGGAGCCATGGTTTGCTGCGGTCTCTGCTCTCTGGGCAGTGAGGCTTTCTGTTGTTTACCTTAGGCTGCCTCTGAAGCTCCCAGAGCCCTGCCCAGACATGATCTCACTCTCTCAAATCATCCCTGCGAGGCAGACAGGAGTCTGGGACCAACCTGCCCCCACTTCACAGGTGGGAAAACTGAGGGATTCACACATGTGCGGGCATGCACAAGACACACACACACACACACACACACACAGAGCAAATATGTTGATAAGTTGCTCTGCAGTCCTGGGGTCCTGTGCCTGCAGTTATTTGGGAGGTGAGAGGTCCAGGATAGGGCTTGGCCCAGCTGCGTTCAGCAAGTGCCTCAAAATTCATGAGCCTTGTAGGGATATCCCACAGCCTAACACGGGGCCCTGCCTCCAGGAAGCCTGTGGTATCAGCAGGTGAGAGGAGTCTAAAGAAACACATCCTGCGTTGAAGTTCCTCAGTCCAATTCTAAGGCAGCTCTACAGGCACATTTCACCAGGCATGGTGGCTCATGCCTGCAACCACAGAACTTTGGGAGGCCAAGGCAGGAGGATCAGTGAGGCCAGGAGTTCAAGACCAGCCTGGACAATATAGCAAGACCCTTGTTTCTACAAAGAAATAAAGATTAAAAATTAAAAATTTAGCCGGGCATGGTGGTGCACACCTGCAGCCCCAGCTACTCAGGAGTCTGGGGCAGGAGGACGGCTTAAACCCAAGAGATCAAGGCTGTAGCAGGATCTGTGATCATGCCACCGCACCTCCAACCTGAGCAACAGAGTGAAACCCTGTCTCTAGGGGGTAACAAAAGGCACATTTCATGAGGGCGGGCCTTGTGTGTTGTAGCAAGAAGAGCTGTGGTGGAGAGGGCCCACCCCTGAGGGTCGGTGGGCTGCCTGGGGACGGTGCCCAGTACTGGACAATCCACACAGCTCCTCTCCGATTGTCGTGCCTTCCAAACATCCCTGTAAAACAATAATTGTTATGACCCTACTCTACAAATAAGAAAATTGAGGCTCACAGCTCACCCAGGAGCACAGAGCAAGCCAGCCAGCAGCGGCTGGCCATCTGGCTCCAGGTCCTGAGCTTTGTCCACACCATCAAGCAGGGAGGCACAGAAAACCAGCCGAGGGAGAAGAAAGGGGTGGCCTCTGCCGGGTGAGGAGCCAGACGGCCTGCTTCGCAGATCCCTTCCAGCTGGCCTTGTCTTCCAGTTCTGAGGGGGGGGTGAAGGAGGAAAGGCCGAGCTGGGAGAGGAGCAGGCGCTCGCCACAACAACCCCCACCCTGCTCTCCACGCGCCAGGTCCTGCACGCTAGGTGGGAGGGTGACGACAAGGATGGAGGAGCGGGGCCCCACCCCCGCCCTCCCCGGGCGCACCATCTGCAGCGGAGAGGGCCTTGAGCTGCGTGGGAAATGCGGTGGCCAGAGGGACACTGATGAGGATGGGCCGGCTGACGGCAGCCCTCTCTCAGCCCCGGACCCTTCCCGCCATCCCCAGCCCTTCCCCTCCCTCCTCCCAGCGCCTGTCACTCTTCCTGCCCAAACCAAGCATTTAGCACTTAGTCTCGAACCCTCAGCTGACTCCTCATCTAGGACTCCGTCTCTCTCTCCAACTACAACAGAATCTCCTTAAAGGCAGGGGTTTATGTCCCCTTCCCCACAGGCCCCGTGACATTTATTACTCTTGAATGCAGTGAGAAGAAAGTTATTTGGGAGATGATCAACTCCGGCAATGCCATCGTGTGTTCACGGCAACAGCTGGGCAGTGGGTCCAAGGGACGGCCCCGGGCCTCCGTGACGTCACCGGGCTTGTTGCGTCATAGTCGCCTACCCCTGCGTCGCAACGCGCCCTGCAGGAAGGATGACGTCACGGTCGGAGCTCCTGCAGACCAGTGCGCGCTCGGGGAGTAGGCGAGTCGGGGGCGGCTGGGAGACGTCCTGAGCGCGCGGGACTGATAGGCGGCAGAACCCGGGCGGGGTCCTCCGAGCTCCGGCCCGGCGCCCACCCAGTTGCCCGGCGGCCCCGGGTGGCCCCGCCCCTTTGGAGACTGCCACGGGCCGGCCAATCCGGGCAGGCCGCGACGCCGCGCAGCCTATCAGCGGCCAGGGCTCGCGTGCGCTTCCGCGTTCGCGTGCGCTTCCGCGTTCTCGTGCGGGACAGGCCTGCTGCCGCAGGGACTGGGAGAGGGCGCCGGAGCCCACGCTCGCCCGCGGCTCGGCTCAGCCAGTCTGCGAGTACTCAGGCCGCCGCCCCCCGGGGTACCCGATGGCCTCGGAGGGCCTGACGGGAGCGCTGGCTGCCGTGCTGGCGGGCCAGGGGCCGAGCGTGCAGAGCTGCGACTCGGCGCCGGCCGGGGAGCCGCCGGTGCCCGTGCGGCTGCGGAAGAACGTGTGCTACGTGGTGCTGGCCGTGTTCCTCAGCGAGCAGGTGAGCGGCCGCCCGCCGGGCCCGCCGGGCCTCGGGAGCGCGCAGCCAGCCCAGGTGGGGACAGAAGACCCAACGGCCACAGCCAGCGCTGCCGTGTGCGTGGCGCTCCCCAGTTTTGCAAAGCACTCCCACTCCCACTCGCATCTGTGTCCTGCGTTCGTCCCGATGTGCAGAAGAGGAAACTGAGGCCCGGGGCCTGTTTGTCTCATCCCACTAGGGCTCATTCCTTCCCTTCCCCAGAGTCTAGCGGAATGCCCAGGGTCCCCCGGGTAGCAGTGGCTCAATTCGTGTTTACCCTCAGGCCTTTGGTGCTGATCCCTGTAGTAGGCGATGTAATGACAACTAGAAGGGGCCAGGGCCATAGGGCAGGGTTGTACAGAGTGGAGGTGGGGGGTCGTGTTTCAAAGCCAGACCCCAGTGTGAGGACCCATCACAGTTTGTAAACCACGCCGTTGGAAGCGAGAGATACACAGTGACATGTACAGACGCAAATCAGTGCAAGACACATGGTGACCCTCACTCTGGGACCTCATCTCCAGCCCCTGAAGCAGCTTCCAGGAATCTCAGCCCTTCCTGAAATGGAAGTCTTCTTAAATCCAGAGAGGGACGAATTGCAGGGAGGAGAGGGCTGCAGCCCCCAGCGACACGAGGGCAGGTCTCCTGGAGCGCTAGCCGGATTAAGGGTGTCCACCCAGAGGGGAGTCTCGGGCGACTGTGTTTGAGGTGTCCCCTGGTCCCCAGGGAAGGGAAGGCTGTGGCAGGAAGTGAGGATCCTCTGTCCCCTCAGGATGAGGTGCTACTGATCCAGGAGGCCAAGAGGGAGTGCCGGGGGTCGTGGTACCTGCCTGCGGGGAGAATGGAGCCGGGGGAGACCATCGTGGAGGCGCTGCAGCGGGAGGTGAAGGAGGAGGCGGGGCTGCACTGTGAGCCCGAGACACTGCTGTCCGTGGAGGAACGGGGCCCCTCCTGGGTCCGCTTCGTGTTCCTCGCTCGCCCCACAGGTATGGCCCACCTGGAGGCAGTGTGAACAGGGCCAGTTGACACCTTTCCCCCAGCTCCTCGGTGAGGTGAGCCCCTCCACAGCCAGTCCTGTTATGACTGGCACAGCCTGGCATGGGCAGATTCCAGCCTTTGGGCTGGGGGCCTCTCTTCTGGGTCAGGGATGTCTGTTGACTGCTACACCTGCACTTCTCTCCACACAGCCTGTCCCTGCCCCATCCCCCACATTTCCCCCAGGTGGAATTCTCAAGACTTCCAAGGAGGCCGATGCGGAGTCCCTGCAGGCTGCCTGGTACCCACGGAGCTCCCTGCCCACTCCGCTGCGAGCCCATGACATCCTGCACCTGGTTGAGCTAGCCGCCCAGTATCGCCAGCAAGCCAGGCACCCTCTCATTCTGCCGCAAGAGCTACCCTGTGACCTGGTCTGCCAGCGGCTCGTGGTCACCTTTACCAGCGCCCAGACAGTGTGGGTGTTGGTGGGCACAGTGGGGATACCTCACTTGCCTGTCACTGCCTGTGGCCTCGACCCTGTGGAGCAGAGGGGTGGCATGAAGATGGCCATCCTACGGTTGCTGCAGGAGTGTCTGACCCTGCACCACTTGGTGGTGGAGATCAAGGGGTTGCTTGGACTGCAGCACCTGGGCCGAGATCACAGTGATGGCATCTGTCTGAATGTGCTGGTGACCGTGGCTTTTCGGAGCCCAGGGATCCAGGATGAACCCCCAAAGATTCGGGGTGAGAACTTCTTTTGGTGGAAGGTGACGGAGGAGGACCTGCAAAGCCAGCTCCTCAAGCGGCTTCAGGGATCCTCTGTTGTCCCAGTGAACAGATAGGGAGGTGGAGGAGGTGACAAGGAGCTAAGCAGCCATGCTCCCTCCAGTGCAGACATGTCTCCCTCTGAGGGAGGCAAGAGGCTGGCGATCAGGGATCTTGTTGCATTGGGAGCAGGGGCAGCTCTCCTGGTTCCCAGGAGAGATGCTTTGAGCAGCATTCCTCTACATTGCACAAGGGACAGTGCCTTTAACCAAGCAAGGAGTCCAAAGCTCAGGACCTGACAACCCTGAAGGCACACTGACACCTCTCCCCAGGGGGACGGGGAGCCTTCTGCACCACCAGTGGCATCTCCTCATGTTCTGTGCCCTCCTTGGGAAAGGCCTGCATCCTGATCCTTCCAGGCCCTTGGAGCCTGGGGGGGCACTGGGGAAGGTGTCCCGAGGGAGGAGCCCCTTGCTGAGTAAAGAGGTGTTACTTACCTTGCCTCCCTGCCTAAACGTCTCTGTGGGGAGCAAGTGTTGGGGATTCCTGTCCAAGAGCTGCTGTTCCCCTCGTGTTACCCACAGCTGCCCATGCCTTTCCCAGTGCACTGACAGTGTGGGCCAGTCTGCTGTCCAGCATGGCCCCTGGGGCTCCTTCCAGCTGGCCTGCTGGCCTGGGAGGTGACTCTGAGGGGACCCATTCCTAATGAAACACAGCTCTGAGTCCTCCCAAGGGTTGGGCAGCGGGTGGCCCCAGAGGAACTTCACGTGGGACGGGCTGCAGGTGCTGCCTCTGCTCTCTCCTTGAGCCTCCCTGGCACAGACCCCTCCCCCGGCTCTCCTGCCTCTGCCTTTTCACAGCTTCAGCCCACACCAGACCAAACCTTTTTTTCATTTCCCCTCAGCCTGGCTGAATCACGGTAGGAATTTTTTTTTTTTTTTTTTTTTTTTTTAATAAGTGGCCAGGCACAGTGGCTCACGCCTGTAATCCCAACACTTTTTGGTAGGCTGATGCAGGTGGATCACTTGAGGTCAGGAGTTCGAGACCAGCCTGGCCAACATGGCAAAACCCCATCTCTACTAAAAATACAAAAAATTAGCCGGGCATGTTGGCAGATGCCTGTAATCCAAGATACTTAGGAGGCTGAGGCAGGAGAATCACTTGAACCGCAGAAGCAGAGGTTGCAGTGAGCTGAGCTCCAGCCTGGGCAGACTGTCTCAAAAAAAAAAAAAAACTTTGGCCAGGCACGGTGGCTCACACCTGTAATCCCAGTGCCTTGGGAGGCTGAGGCAGGAGGACCGCTTGAAGGCAAGAGGATCGCTTGAAGGCAAGAGTTTGAAGCCAGCCTGGGCAACATAGACCCTGTCTCTGCAGAAAAACAAAAAACAAACAAAAAAACCCAGGCAAGGTGGCGCATACCTGTAAATCCCAGCTACTCAGGAGGCTGACACAGGAGGATTGCTTGAGCCCAGAAAGTGGAGGCTGCAGTGAGCCATGATCAGGCCACTGCACTCCAGTCTGGGTGAGAGAGCAAGACCCTCTCTCAAAAGAAAAAAGAAAGAGAAAAGAAAGAACATTTAAGCGAAAATCGAAGGAAATGAACAGACAAAATATATCAAGTGTTCTACGGTAGAGATTTCTGATTCTGAGCAAGGAAACACTTGCACGGGCTCCCCTTCTCCTGAGGGCCGAGATAACCTCCAAGGCCCCTTTTCCAGCCCCCTCCCTGCCTCTCTTGGCTGCCCTCTTTCTGGCCCCTGGAAGGTGGTAGGAATCCTTGTACTCTCTGAGGACAAATGCCTCGCAAATGATGGAACCAAACCCTTTTGTTTCAGTTCATTTCTGTCAGTGTCGAAGGGACCCACTGGCCCACATCCAGTCAGCCGGGCAATGATGTTTGGCTATTTGCCCCCATTATTTAGCCTAGTAGTTTTCAACCCTGGGAGCACATTAGGGTCACCTGGGTTTTTGTTTTTCTTTCTTTTTTTTCTCTCAGACAGGGTCTTGCTCTGTCACCCAGGCTGGAGTGGAGTGGTGTGATCCTGGCTCACTGCAGCATTGACCTCCCAGGTTCGAGTGACAAGTGATTCTCCTGCCTCAGCCTCCCAAGTAGCTGGAACCACAGGCGCATGCCACCACACCTAACTAATTTTTAAGTTTTTAGCAGACATGGGGGCCTCGCTATATTGCCGAGGCTGGTCTCGAACTCCTGTCCTCAAGTGATCCTCCCGCCTTAGCCTCCCAAAGTACTGGGATTATAGGCATGAGCCACCATGCACAGCCACCTGGAGAGCTTGAACTCTGGGCCCACCCCCAGCAACAATAATTTAACTGGTGATGGGACACTGGGCATTGGGATTTTAAAAAGCCACCCAGTGATCAACACGAGTTGAGAGCCACCGTCTGGCTCCTTTTCCTCCAAGTTCTCAGCCTGCCCTCTCGCAGTCTCTTGGGGAACCCCCTCAGAGGATCCCCCACCCCTCCACACACATCTAAGGACAAAGGATTTATTTATGTGTTAACTTTTCTGTTTCCCTGAGAACACACCTGTGAATTATTACTATTATTTTTTTTAGAGACAGGGTCTTACTCTGTTGCCCAGGCTGGAGCGCAGTGGTGCAATCAGCTCACTGCAGCCTTGAACTTAAAGACAAGGTTTTAAATACCAGGCCTACTTTACAACTAAAACAGGCATACAACACGCAGCATAAACACACCCAAGTGAGACTTGCACACAGATGCTCCCACGTGGTCCATTCCCTCACGGTGTCTCCGGGGCGGGCAGGCTCTCGGCTGCAGGTCAGCCCAGCAGAAGTGGCACTGCTCTGCCAAGAGTCTGGCTCCTGGCAGGCTCTGAGGATCAGCAGATCTGCACTGCCAGAGCCTGTCTGTTTACCGCCCACCCCACCTCCCTGCTCCAGTGCTAGAAAAAGAATTTGTCTTCCTTGGGGAGGAAGATGGGCCCGAATTAGCAGTGGAGTCCTGGGCAGAAGGAGGGAAACTTGGCCAAGAACAGAGCCACCATGTCCACGCAATCACACCATTTATTGCTGTGCTGTCCGGGGAAGACACCGTGCAAACGCCAAAGTGCATGGAGAAGAGGGGAGGGTCTGTGACTCCCAGACCCTCGAATATTTTATGAATCTAAGAGTCCAGACATAGTTCATCCACGGAGATCTGCGCCCTGTCCACACCAACACCCACGTTTGTGCACGCACATGCGCACGGTGCTCTTCAGAGCGGCGAGGTCCTCCCCCGTGGGGAGGAATGCGGGAGAGGCAGAGGTCACTGAGTTTCCTCCTGTTTCGTGTCACCTCTTGGCAACCTGTGTCTGGCTTCTAGAAGTGGCATGGGCAAGAAAAGGAAGCAAAAGAGGCTCTGGCCTGCTCCTCCTTGCCCAGGAGCAAAGCCAGCAACTGTGTAGTCCCGCTGTGAGGTAATGCCTGGCGCCGCCCGTGTATTCCTGCAGGTCAAGACAGATTCGGGCCGGGTGGGGTGGCAGCCCCAGCCACAGAGGGCATGCAGGGAGAACAACACCAGGACTGGCTGCCTGGGCCACAGCCACTCCCCGCCAGGCTCAGGGGCCTGGAGTCAGGGGGCGTCCTGCCCTTATCTGTCCCCTGAGCTCCCTGGCCACCCAGAAGGGTCTTCTATCAAGAACACTGGGCCCTGAGCAGAAGGGAGGGCAAGGCCTGGCCTCCCCTGGTCTCTGACCTCTCTGCCCAGGTGCTGTGGACCTGCTGAGACGGGTTCAGAAGGCGCCAGAGAGGAACTAGCTGGACCTGAGCCTGGCTCCCGGGCCCGCTCCCCTCCTGGCTGCAGCTGCACCAAGGTTCTCATTAGCAGCGGCCCCCGCCTGGGTGCGGAACATGCTTTGGGCATTTGCCATGAGGCGGCTGGGAGTTTTGCAACAGTTTTCAGGGGAGCAGAGTAGGAAGAGGGGCTTCCCTGACGATCCTATTCACTGCTCCTCCTCCATGGGCCAAGTGGGCCAAGCCGTGAAGGCAGGGGACAAAATGTCAGGTCTCAGCAGCTCCCATGGTACCTAATGTGACACAGACAAGGCTCCAGGCCCCATCTCCCTGGCCTGGGCTCCCGACCAGTCTCAGAGCCATCAGCTCACTCCCCATCTTGCCTCTGGAGTTGAGTCACAGGTCTTGGCCCTGGCCACAAATGGCCAGTACAGAGGGGGCCAGGCACATAGCACATGAGGGTCTGGGGCCTGGGTGCTCACCTGGCTGTCACCCAAGCTCCTCCAAGAAGGCCCCAAGGACCCTGCTGCCTGGAAAGCCATCTGTTTGGCTCCTTGGCGCCTGGCATGCCCATTCCCTGAAACCCAGTCTGGTGTGGTCAACATGCCGCAGTCTCCTTGACTGAGCCTGGGAGCAGAAGCCCCATCCCAGGAGGGGAGTGTGGCGGCAGTGCCAGGCAGGAGGCAGCTCTGGGGCAGAGGTGTGGACAGGAGTCTCCCACCGCCCTGCTCCTGGCTCAGACCTGCCCTTCCGGGGCTGGGGAGAGGTTCTGGCGAGGATCATGCGGGGGAAACTTGACGAAGGCAATGGCAGCCAGCTCCTTGCAGAACTCCTCCAGCACCACCACGCCCTGGAGGAGGGTCTGGTGGTCCAGCCTGAGGGGAGATGGCACAGGGGGCATGGCTGGGTGGGGGCAGGACTGTGCCCAGCATGACAGCCCAGCATCCATGAGGCTTGACCCTGTGGCCGGCCACCTGTCCTCCAGAGGCACTTTCTACCCTCCCACCCCCAGGCTTCACCTGGCACCCTTGGTACTTACTGCTCCCCAGGAGCCTGGCCCGTCAACTGCTTGCGCACCAGAAGCAGCTTGCCTGGGAATTGGGGTACCCTCTGGATTCTCTGCATCAAGTCCCCGATCACCTAGATTAGGAACCACGGGGGACTCAGATGGGGCCAGCAACACCAGCGGGTCCCCTGGCCCTGCCACACCATGCAGAGCATGGGGAGACTGTGCTTTCCCTGGCACTGGCAAGGGTGCCCACCCCTCCAGCCCCCAACCACCTGCCCCGTTCCCCTTCCCTGCTTTTCCCTCCACCCCCACTGGGCACATTCCCTCGGGCCGAGGCATCCTCACCCTCACCAACACGGAGAATAGGCTTCTGCAGCCGGGGGCCAGGCTGATGTAGGGATCCAGGAGGTACTCATGAATATGGGGGTGGGGGAAGAGGGCAAGCCGGGACAGGACCGAGGTCACCTGCAGGTTCAGGCTGTATGGCTGTAGGAACATGGTGGACAGAGCTGAGGGCTGGCAGGGCTGGTGAGTATTTTTGCACTCCCCCAGCAAGATGCCTGGCCAGTGTGAATGTGTGTGGGGGTGGGAGGCCCACGTGATGTGTGTGTGTCATGGATTCCATGGGGCTGAGGGCCAGAACATGTTAGGACGTGTGGAGCAGGGGCGAGATGGGGCTTCCCACCTGGGGAAAGGACAGGGGTGCTGTGCACCAAAGAACCGAAGTGGAGGCAACCCTGT